TGGGGTGGCTGTATGTCAGTGCATTGTGCTCCCAAAGGCTGCAGTATCTTTTTAAAACAAACAAACATCTTCTTAGCCTAAAAGAGGTTACTGGAAAATAAACAATCTTCATACAGATCCAGCATGTGTGTGGCTGAGGTGCTGATGCCTGGTAGAATGGAGATTTTGTGGGGTGGTGAGAAATTTTGCTTCAGGCTAGCATAGCTGTGAGCAGAGTCTGCCTCTGTAGTATCAAACGCTCAGGAAGTGACCAATTTCACTGGGTCTGTCTGCAGCTGCTTTTATTTTAGTTTGTGAAGGACTGGCAGTCTTTCCTGCTGCTTCTCCAGTTGAACTTAACTGCTTGACATTACTAGAAGCAAGAAGGTAGCTGTGACAGGGCTCTGAGCTTCCAAGTTTCTTGGTTTGTGCATTGGCTAATGTTTGTCTTTTGTAACTATAGGAAACTTCAACGGTTATGGTCAGCGATACAAGCAGATGGTTTGCAGCTAAGACCTGCAAAACGTATGAAGTGTGAATTTAACTTTATAGGAAAGCACTTGGACAGTAATCAACTCAAGGCTGATTCTGCCTCGATAAAAATGCTTTTTGGGGGTCTTAGTAGTCAGGAAGCCTGCCTAAATCTGGCAAGTGTTGTGTACTGCCTTCTTAAATAATTTGTAATCAATTGTACCACAAAAAACGTAGGTGGAGGAGCAGAATTCTGAGTTCTGTAAATTGCATTTGGGAGCTATTGGAGAAATGACGGTAAAACTATTCATTGTTAATCAACTTTAGTAGACGCAAATTAAGGGCTAGGATAGGACAATGGTAGAAATTACAGTAATATCGGGTCAAACTTCTCCAACTCTTCATGCTGTAACAATAAGTTACAAGTATGAAAAGTTGTAGAGATGAGCATTGGTGAACATAATACTGCTTTCTTCAAAAAGGCTGAAGTTACTGAACTGAGGCCTTCTTGATCTTGAGAGGCAAAACTTTTTTCCGCCCTATTGAAGGATTTGATGTTCTGGCTTGTATTTGTAATTCAGTGTTAAAATAGAGCTGGACATCGCTGATACTGCACTTACTACACTTAATCCCATAAATCCTGCCTTGAACTGGGTAATGTATGTTTGCCTAAATGTATAACTTATCCTGGCTTGAAGTCAGTCAAAATTGAAGAATAAAGATTGTATGGCAATTTTTTTAGGTGGCTCATCCTAACAGCTACATTAATATATATACAATTTTTAAAGCATAGTCACAGGAAGTTGCATTAAGTTGAAGCTGTTTGTAGCAGGATCCTAAATCTAGAGTTAGGAGTTCAAGCAACACTTTGAAAACTAGGTGGGCTCTTTCCCACCATTCACAAACGATCTTCCAGAACAGAGCCAACGAAGTCTTCAGAACAGGTTGGAGTAAAAGACCTAGCAGTGGAAAGAAACGTGCTTTCTGCATCTGGGTCAGGGAGGGTGACTCTGTTAGGAGGGTTAAATTCTACTTTTGATGTTCAGATCTTCCTTTTGCATATGAAAAATGACCAAACTTTTGTATTCATCTTTCGTTAAGGTGGTCAGCCCAGAAATGTGCAGCCTTTTAGTGATGAAGATGCTTCAATTGAAACTATGAGCCACTGCAGTGGCTTCAGTGATCCTGCTAGCTTCACTGAGGATGGTATATTCTTTCATTTATATCTATTAATCTTCTTAAAAACATAAGATCTGTGTTGACATAAGAGCTTAAGTGCTAGACTATAAGTAGCGGTAGCAAAACAATGACGTTCTGTTAAACGCTACATGATTGTTAATCTAGTGTCTATTGTTTTCTTTAGTGAGAATATACTCCAGGTTTCATGAGCCTCTCATGAAACTATTAGACTTCTTCCTATTAGAATTATACAGTGCCAACTTTTGGAGATAGTAAGAATTTCAAGGTGCATTAGAAGACATTGATTTTCATAACACATAATTGAGGTGGTAAGAAATGCAGAAGAGTTTGGGATGGAACATTTGCCTGTTTTGAACTAGAGTTGTGCTTGGTCTCCACTACTGTCTCTGCAATCTGGGCTGCTCTAATGTCATTTTGTTGGGAGGAGGGGACCTGAAAGCCTGCTACAGGGGGATAATGCAGGGAGCCTTCCCTGTGGATACTTGCTACTCTTAACTGAGCTGCTGTTGCAGGGGCATCTGAAGTGAAGCCAGATAGGACAGGCTGCTTAGACAGTACGGACTGCATCAGCAGTGAACACTCTGCTGTACTCCAGGCATAGATGTAGTGGACTGGATGAAAACATGTTGCTGACAGGATTGCCTGATGGGCGTCAGTTGTAGCAAATTTATGTAAGACTTGATTTGCTCCCTGATTCATTCCTGGCACATGTAAGAAGCAGGTATAGAAACAGCACAGCTGTATCAATAGATCAATTTTTATAAAGTATTTTAAGGGGCAGTTTGATGTAGCAGTCTTAACACTGTTCTGTTGCTGTTATACTGAGCAATTCTGTAGCTATTGTCTATATGTTAAACTGATTTCTTACTAGTATTAAAAATGTTAAGTGTTGGATACTACTGTGTCTGCTAATAAAATATATATCAGTAGGACTAAATTATTTCCTCTGGATTAGGGCCTGAAGTTGATGAAGAAGCCACTCAAGAAGACTTAGAATACAAATTGAAGGGATTTATTGATCTTACGTTGGACAAGAGGTATAGTATGAAGCAACACATTCATACATTGTTTTCTGGCTTCCTCTGATATAATAAAGGAAATATGCATCAAACTTTTTTATATGCTTACTGAAATTACAATTATTTTGTGCTGGGGAGGACCTTTTCTTCTGTATCTGAAAAGACCTTTCTCCCTCCACCAAGTTTTTGGATAAGTGAGAGTCAGACTTTCCTTTCCTAATAGCTTGAAGTAGAGTGACTTTATTTCTAGCTTGGTGTATGATGAACTCTGTCTCCAACCTAAGTTTCTCTGTCCTTAAGGAAGGAGGCAGTTCATAACATTTCATACTTCATAGTGCTACTGTGGGATACTCTCCTGTTGGGCGCAGACAAAGATATAAACTATCATAAAAACCAAAAGCTAAGCTTTAACTGATGTGTGCTGATTTCAGGAGGTCTTCCTTCTCTCTTCTAACAGTGCAAAGACAAGACAAGCAGCTCTTGAAAGTCTGAAAAGTGCTTTTTCTTCTAAAATACTATATGAATTTATCATGGAAAGGAGAATGACGCTAACTGATAGCATTGAACGCTGCATAAAGAAAGGTAATTAACATGCTTCCTATTTGAAAGCAATAATCCCCATGAAATAGCTTATTGTTTAAAAGGACTTAAGACTGTGAGGCTTCTCTAGTATTTTATAGAGTGCTTAATTTAATTATGTTAACAACATTCCTTTTTTTGTGTCTAGATGTAGTAGTTTAACTGACCTAGAAAATTAACTGAAATTATGTTCTGTCTATTGGTTTCTGAATTTCCACTTGCAAGTTTTCAGACTGATTATCTTTAAAGGGAGGAAGCAATGCCCAAGGTGATTACTCATCACAGCATGTTAATCTCCAGGTAAGAGCGACGAACAGTGTGCAGCTGCCGGACTGGCTTGTCTTCTGTGTGTGCAGATGGGGTCAGGAATTGAAAGTGAAGAGATTTTTAAGACCCTTGGTCCAGTTCTGAAGAAGATTGTCTGTGATGGAACAGCCAGTATCCAAGCCAGACAGGCTGTAAGTATAAAATATTTATTTGTCAGGCAGGGGCAGAGGGTAGCTTTTAACCAGTTCACTATTGTGTAATCCAGAACGAAAGGTTACTACACTAGTGTAAACTCATAATGTTGACTTATGCTCTGAATGATGCGTAGCAGTTTTCACTGGCTTAAGTGCCACCTAAAGGTTGAATGTCATCCTCCTCTTCAACCTGGGAACTTCCTTAAAAAGATGTTAGGTCTCATACTGTTCCAAGCGTCTTAACTCACTGTGTTGCAGTCTCCTTACTGCAGTTCTGAGGCCTGACTGAACAAATGAAAAAATTTTCTAAAATGAAAAAATTTTTATTTTAGAAAAAAATGAAAGTTTTCCCACTGAGTGGTATATCTGTATCTTCCCACTTCCTGTATTACTTTTAACTTCTTTAACAGCAGAGGAATGTTAATTAGTCAAATATATTTCATCAATGATAAAATTACATATAGCAGATGTAGAACTACATACTTGATATTTTCATGCTACCATACTATTCTGTTTTTCACCCAGTCATCCCATCTATGTATCATCAGTATACTTGAAAAATTGACTAAAGACATTCTAAAGCTCTTGCCAAGAGTTTTGTTGTGGGGTTTTTTTTGTTTGTTTGTTTTTAACTTCAGAGTTCTAACTAACATCCTCCAACTCGCCTTTATTACATAGCTGGCTACATCTCCTATTTTAACTCAAGCTGTGTTACAATAGATACTGTCAGCTGGAAGAGGAGGTAGTATTAGTTCAACAGCAGTTCTTTCTATAACAAACAAAAGCTATTAAAGCTTGTCCTGTTTTAAGTGTAGTTTTGAGTCCTATGTGGTTAGTGCAAACATCACTTTCAAACATTTTTTTCTTACTCTTTGTAAGAGGAGGCTGAGTATTATACAGGGGATAGGGAAGAGAAGTGTAGGACCTTGCACTAAAAGTTGGAAAGTGCCATGAAAGGCTCTTGAAGTCCAGTATTTTTGTGACATTTAATCGTAATAGTGGGCAGAGGGGGGGGAATAACTTCCCACACCTGTGAATAAATATAATATGTCCAGTACTGTTTATCTGCATAATTTCTGCTAGTGAATCCTAGAGGGATTTAAAATTATTGTGTGAAAGGAGTGCTCCATGTAGCTTCTTAGAGGGGCTTTGTAAGCTATATTAAATAATACAGCATGAAAAGTGAAGGCTTGCGAGTAGCGTATGTTGTAGAATCGTCCTGAGAGCAGAGGGGAACTGAGAGCTAACTGTTACAAGGTAGCTGAATTAAACAGTGTTGAAGACTTCTACTCTGCTAAAGTGTTAATCTCACGTTTCCATTACTGCAGATGTTGAATTTCAGGGGTCAAAGTTTGAAGGTTTTGTCAACAGTAACGTTAATGTCAAATACTGACACTCTTTTCTTTTGCGTCTAGTGTGCAACCTGCTTAGGGATTTGCTGTTTCATTGTCACTGATGACATCACGGTGAGGATAAATAATACTTCTTTTTGTTGCTGTTAATAAATTGACAATATGAAAATGTGTGAACCTTAAGCTACTTCCTTGATCTCTTTTGCCCTGTTCAGGAACTGTACTCAACTATGGAATGCCTGGAAAACATCTTCACAAAGGCCTATCAGCGAGATAGAGACACTAATGGTGTATCAAGTACCCATAATACTGTGCTTCACATCAGTGCTCTCTTAGCATGGACACTGTTGTTGACCATTTGTCCAATGAATGAAGTGAAGAAGAAAATTGAAATGTGAGTATCTTTCTTGGAAAACAAAATTTGTAACAACTGTTTTTATATGCAATGAAGCCATGTCGATAAAATTTACATCTCAATGAAATGCAACTTACTCCTTAGGCACTTGCATAAACTTCCCAGTCTGTTGTCTTGTGATGATCTCAACATGAGAATAGCTGCTGGAGAAACATTAGCCCTTCTGTTTGAACTGGCACGCGAAACAGATGCTGTAAGTAGATGTCAACAGCTAAATTTTCTTGCATTGGGATAATGACATGACAAATTCTTTAACTGTGTTTCATAGCACCTTGGGTCTCAACAAGTGGTATACAATTCACTGGGTTATGCTCTTTGTAATGAGTCTGCCCCAATCTGAGTGGGTATAGCAATGATTCACAGCAATTTAGCTGTCATTTTTACACTGATTTCCATGTTGCAAAACAGGACCAATATAATAAAACACACCAAACAATACTGAAGAGTAACTAGAAGTGCAAGCTTTGAAATCTAAATCCAACACCAGCTTTAAAAAAAAAAAAAAAGTCCCTGGAGAGATTCCAGGATAAAGCAGCATTGTTTACTGTAGTAGGAACACTCATTAGATACTTATGCAGACAAGTTCCAGTGACTTGCAACCTGCACAATGCTGCTCCCACAGCTAAAAATCTATTTTTCAGTAGAAGCCATGTTGATTTTTATTATTGTTTTTTCAGTATCTTTATTTAGGTACCTTGAGAAAAATAGCTAGTATTGCATGAAGGTTTCACAGCATTTGTGACTATTTTAGTCAGTTGAGGACTAGTCAGTCAATTTAAGGGGGCAGATTTTTAAAGGATTTGCATAAATTTTGCACAGATACCAGTCTTGGTACATTTGGTGAGATTTCTTGGGGTTTGCTTTTGAGTTGGATGAGGTGCAAGCTTCTTGGTATTCCCTCATACAGAGCTAAACTTGCCTTTACATTCCCCAATATGCCTTACTAATTTCTGAACTTTTTTTTTGATAGCACTGAAGGAAACAGCCTCCACTTACCCATGGCACAATTTGGGAGAGCTGCCTGAATGGCTCCTAGCTCGATCAAGGCTGCTGTGCTTTGCCAGAACACTATCCAAAGTGAAAAGATAACTCCAGTTGAGTCAGGATACAGGACACACTGACATGCATAATCTGAAACAATAGGCTGAGACTTCTGTGTAATTGCAAACAGTAGGGATTTGAGTCTCTTGGCTATGGAAGCCAACTTTGAAAGAAAAAAATAAAAAGAGGGAGAGACGAGAACTTGATACTTTATTTGGCCAAACTGACTGCAAGTAACTAAAATCTTAAAATGCACTAAGGAATGAGACTATTCCCTAAACTTATTATGTTCCATTGAGGAAACGCCCCTTTAATCATTACAAATTATTCTCTTTGGATCCTTAACGATCATCGCAGATTAAAAATGCCGTTTCATGTGTTTTGCCTTTGACCAGTTTCTTTCAAAAAGCGTGCAGTAAACTGAGCCTAATCGGTTGACATGACAAAACATTCAGATTAAGAAAACAAAAACTTGGTTTTATGTAAGTTTACATATGTTCTTACTAATCCCGGTAAACTACTCCTGAATTAGTAAATGGAGGGGAGAACATATTTCCTGCTAAACAATTATACATTACAGTTTACTTGGAGGCTTTTGTTAAGCATTTTCTTAAAACTGCTTTCTAATTTTTCACCCCATACAAGATTTATCACTAAATATTGCATACTGTCGGTCCGTGTCTCATGATCCATCTCCAGCAGCATGAATTCTGTGCTGATAACCTGAAAGTGCCCTCAGCTTGTTGACAAGAGTGGCAGGCCGGGTATTGAGTCCCTTGGAATTATAGAGCAGAACAGACTGACAGGTATATGCACACACTGAAGGAGCTGTACTGTTTCATGTGGCTCTGACTACCAGAATAGAGTTTGATAGTGTCCTCCTTGGGTAAATTGGATGCTGTGAATTTGTTCTTACTGGCTTAAATGCTGCAAATGGAGCTGCAAATGGAACTACAGGGAATTAGTGCCATCTCTGTCTCTTTAAATAACAAAATAATATGTAGTAGAGGTCTACGTACCCAGAATTCGGAGAGATCCATTTTTCTATTTGCAGGGAAAGCTGTTAAGGCCAGAAACTAAACCATGATTAAAAAAAAAATTTTTTTACTAGGATTTCTTTTATGAAGATATGGAACTTCTAACAGAGAAACTAAGAGCTCTGGCTACTGATGGAAACAAGCACCGAGCCAAAGTAGATAAAAGAAAGCAGCGATCTGTCTTCAGAGATGTTCTGCGAGCTGTTGAGGTGATTCTTTTGTCTCATTTTGAATGTCTGGATTGTAACTATGTAGTGTACAACTTAATGAAAATGGTTTTATTATGAAGTAGAATTACTGTTTTGGTGAAAGCAACAGGAAAAATTATTTTAAATGAGATTTTAAGCTGATCACTTAAGTGAAATATAACTGCTTTTTTACAAATGTAGAACAAAAAATAAAACTTTGTTTATTTTGCTCCAAACGACTTGCATATTGAAGAGTTGTGTTTTATCTTTAAAGAAAGCTGAACATTGTGCTGTAGATACTGGATTCTTTTTATTTTATACTGTGAGCAGATGTTTTTTCATAGAAAACTTTGTAGGACATTCAAATTAATGTCCTGAAATTCTGTGAAAAGGTTTATTGTAAAATCTCTTACTGAACTACTGTGCATAATAAACAAAAAGCAACTTGGGAGTAAGATACATTTCTGAATGGCACCTCTGTCAGGGGCCAAAGAAGTGTTTGTGTATGATGGGGAGTTGTCCTAACTGTCGTGCTGTAATCTTCTGGTTTTCCATGTCCAGATTAAGAGAACAATGCACAAAGCAGAACTCTAAAAATACTTGGTTAGTGATGTAATTTATGAGTAAAGCCTCGTAAGACAAATGTCAAACTTCTGTCACTTCAATGAATTATTTGTTATTTTACACCTCTCAAACTGGATTTTTTTACTTGTCAGATAATTACTTTTTACATTGCTGTATGAGTAAGACCAACTAAATATTAGTTGACACTCAGAACAGTTAAACGTCTCAGAAGCTAAGGAGAAGGCTTTGAAGTGAAGTCACCTTTGAGATTGTGTCTGTAGAAGAATGAGTCACTTACTAGCACTTGTTACATTCCACTGTCACAAATGTAGCTCACTGCACTTGAAAGGTGGGGACTAAATGAGGCTTACAAACTGACTTAAAGGTTACTCCTGCACTCAGAACTGTTTTTTCCGGAGATAAGTCCAATTCTTAAAGCAATTTTAAAGATTAAAGTCAAGTGTTTGGTTTTTTAAATGCTTTTTGACTTGAACAATGTCAGCTTCAAGTCTTACATGAGATTTAACTTTAGGTACGCATTGGTTTATGAACCAATACAATCTTTAGTATATGCATATTATATTATTTGGAAGGTTCTGGTGTGCCAGATCTATTAATGAAAATGAAGTTCATTGAGATACGTACAATTCCTAATACAAAAGACTGTTCAAATTAGAATTATATATGTTTCCTTTAATTTTGGATAGGAGCGTGACTTTCCTACAGAGATGGTTAAGTTTGGACCTGAGCGCATGTATATTGACTGCTGGGTTAAAAAACAAACTTATGATACCTTCAAGGAGATTCTGGGGTCAGGGATGCAATATCATTTGCAGGTGAGCTGCTGTCCCTCTCTGGCTTCTTTGTAGTAATTAAGTGTGAATTACAAAATCATGAGTAGAACTTGGTGAAATGATGGGCTTTGCATTAAAAGACATCACTTACAGAATGAACTACAGTGAGCTGGAACTGTCTGGGTGAACTGCTTCTGAGTTGTAGCCTGGGTGTGCTGGGTTAGCGATTAGAAGACTTCTCCAAGAAGAGATTCAAGCTGAATGTCTTCTTATCTTCAGGGTTTTTCCTGAATCCTTATGTTCGCTTTCAGCAGAGTGCTGTGGTCATCTGGCTGTAATAAATAAAGGTGCATGCTTCTACCCTTCCTGTGCAAGCCTGTAAAAAAGAATGTAAAGTTTTAGTCAAAAATAAGGAACACAACTTGGAGCCCAATGACAGCATTTCAGAAGGGAAGGGACCTTCTAGGAACTGGTTGTTTACTAGTCATCTGTTTAGATATGTAGCAGAAGCAGGAACTGTAGCTTAGGAATACATGTTCCCAAATAGCTATGATAATTGTAGGGTTAAAATCTTCAGTCCCAGTGTCAACTGCATTTTCTGCTGAGGGAGCCCAGGCATGTAGCACCTTTTTCAAATTCTACTTTCACAGCCAGATATCTTAAAACTGGTGTGTTGTGAAACCATACAGATCCTTGTCCACCTGTCTGATCTTGTGTGGAGGATGTAACAGAACAGTGTCTATAATCTTCTGGGACAAAAAAAGTCAAAGGGCGGGGAGTGCTGTCTCTGTCTTCTTAAGAGGGCAGATTTAGTTCTTAGCCTTATTCTGATTAAAGGAAGAGGTGTTCCCTGGCTTAATGGCAAAAGATACTAAGATTTGTGTCAAATTGCTGTTACTTATTGCTGGAATACTTGGTATTTAACAGTAGTGATCTTTGGAGACTTGATAATCAAAAGGAGAAACTGATCATTTGATGTGTTTCTTGTTTAGTCAAATGACTTTCTTCGGAATGTGTTTGAGCTTGGTCCACCAGTAATGCTAGATGCTGCAACTCTTAAAACAATGAAGATATCCCGTTTTGAAAGGGTAGGTTGTTGCACCTTAATGTATTTACTTCATAGGCTAATATATTTCTCCTGCGTTAAATAGTATTCCAAACATGCACTTTAGAAGCTGTCATCTTTAAACTTGTCACTTCAGTTCTAACAGTGTCCCATATCATCCTGAATAAAACCAAACCTTGCTTGCATGTGTCTTTGAGCTTGTTTCAGATTTTCCACTGGGCACGTGCCTGCTTACTGCTTTTCCCCCAAGGGGGTCTGAGGGTTGACTTGGTTGCCGATGGGTACCAGATTCATGCTCCATACGTGTGAAAATCAGGCTCTCATAAGAGCCATAGGTTTTTGGGTAGGGACCTACAGGAAACTACAGAAACTGGGTCTTTATAAAGACAGTATCCCCAACTCTCCAGTGTGAAACAGGCACTAGGAGGATGACGTTCTGTTGGTTGTGAATGTTCTCATCCCATGTATGAACAAGTTGAGGAGTGGCGCTGCCAAGTTTAATCCAGGGGGCAAACTTAATCTGCATTGTGTCTGTACGATGTTTAAGACTGACCAGCTTCCAGAATTGCTCCTTTCATTTTAATATCTATATATATATTTAAAAGAAACTTGGACTGTATAAGAATTTGCCTTTGGTGCAAAGACAATATACTATCAATTTCAGAAGGCCTACCAATTTAATTCAAAGATTAATAAAAATATTTTTTCAGCTGTTTGTTAACATAAAATCTTTAAAGGACATAAGCCTTTGGAACATCTGTGATTAATTTTTTTTTTTTTATTTTGTAGCACTTGTACAACTCTGCAGCATTCAAGGCTCGGACAAAGGCTAGAAGTAAATGCCGTGATAAAAGAGCAGACGTGGGGGAATTTTTCTAGATCTCCTTTTCCATGGGGTTCAATTTTCATAATTAAAATAGATTTGTAACCTTTAAATTAATTTTATAATTTCTGTAGTCACAGCTTGCACTTGTGCACAGGGATATTGTATAGAGTCTGTAAATATAATGCATGTTGTTGCTTAGTTGCATATACCCTGTATATAGATTGACTTATGATTGGGTGCAGGGATACCTTATAACACTTGCGTTAGATGCAACGTGTTCCAAAGGTTGAATATATTGTAACTGCACTGTTAAGTGGGGTGAATAACTGTAGTCAAATGCTGTCTGTCAGATTGGATTCCTTTTTATATCAAGGTAAATTTAACGAATTAATTGACCAAGTTAATTGAAAAGATGAACTTGTTTGTGTTATTTTAGTAACTTTATAAACAAAAGACAAAGAAATGGTGGACAAAGAAATTTCTACATAGTATGACTTTATCCTGGAGGGGACTATGAAGTTCAATTAACTTCACTTACAGTGAAGCAGTGAATGACAAATACTTGCCACAATGTAAAATAAAACCAAGCTTCTCCTGTTCTGAAATTGGGTGTTTAATTTGGGGAATAAAGATGTTTCTCACTGCTTGCTTCTGTGTAAAAGTGATTACTACATGAATGGGAAGCTGAAACACTAGCAAAACCTTTAGGTTGAAACACATTGGTTTGTTTGCCTGTTCAGCCATGTGGTTGGGTTAGTCTCAATGCTTTAGTAGATGCTATAGGAAACTGTACCTTACTGTGTTTCAAAGGTATATCTTATTTACATATGGTCTGCACAACAGCAGACAGTCTGCACATCACTTCTGTAATGGCCAACTGTTTTCTAGTTCTGGTACTGCAAAACACCTTGTCCCTTACCTTACAAGAGCCATTGCAGCTGCCCTGTTCTTGTTCTGTTGTGTTGAAAACTCCTCTTACCCTCAGTTTCTGGCTTTAGAGGGCTGAAATGTGCCATTAACTGAGGACTGTCTGTCTTGGGGATGATGGGAGGGGTTATGTAATAAGGACACTAAAACCTGGGTAGCTGGAGCTTCTGAACCAGAAGATCAAAAAGTGCTTGTTAAAATAAACATTCTTAAAACTAAAGGTCAAGTTAGCAGCAGCAGAAGTAAACCTTACACCCAAACAAACCCCACCCCCCACCCTGAAAACTACTGCTTGCTGCGGTAAGGGAAAGTTTGGTTTGGTTTTTTGAGTTTCAGATTATAGCAGAACCTATTCCAGAAAACCCATATGTGCTAATTAGCTGTACCTACTAACTTTTTTTTTTTCTCTCAATATTTAATGCATTATGTAAGAACTTGTTTGGCTTATGAAACATTACGTAGACTACACCACGGCCTTCAACTGAAATTTGTGCCATGGTTGACATGTGTTGTTGGTGTTTGTCATGCAAGTGGAGAAGAAAGTTCTGATCCTTGAACAAGCTGAAGCTGGCTGCCTGTGCTTGCCCAGCCTGAGCTCTTGCCCCTTTGATCTAAACTGTTCCCACAAGCCTGCTGGTCTCTCCCGTGGCTTCTGGGTGGTCACCTTCAGCATGCTTTGCTAGTGTAAAGTTAGCACTTGCAATAGCTTCCTGTCCTGCCGGTGTTTTGCAAAATTGCTTTCTGCAGCACCTCCTGGCAGGCAGCTGAGCATGTGGTTGTCTTTTCCCCCATTACACTGTAGCTGCCAACCGCAGAGACCAGGGTGGCTTCCAAGGCTGTCTGAGGGGAGACGAGCTGTTTTGCTGCTCTCCAGAGAGCTGATGGTTTGTAGACCTTCTCAAGCTCAGAACTTGAGAGGCTGGGGTCCTTCCAATTAGGTGATGTCGGGAATCTTTTAGGAATGCAGGTGAGATTTTTTTATCTGTCTGGCTTGCACAGCCTTGTTTGGAGGGAGGACTTCTAGGAGACCCCTGCAGAAAGGGAACAAGCTTTGTTATGTCCGTGTTACTGGTGCAGCTACTCAGACTGGGCAGCAGCAGAGCTTGTCAGCTTGGGCTGGGAAACTATGAGTCAGAAGGTGTATCCTCTCTGTTGTTTCTTGAAAGAAAAATACACTTTTTGTCAGTTTAAAGGGGTTCAAAATTTTAGACTTACAGAATGGCTTCAGAGAGGATCTGTTGTTTTGAGCCGTGGTCCCTCGACGTAAGCGTCCGTTGCCTGTCGTTGCAGTGTGCCGCAACATTACGTTCTGCAATATCGGTGAGAAAAAACTACTGATCAAAAAAACTACCTGCAAAGGAGCAATTACCAGTACTCACAAACAGTTCATCAGAATTTCTGCTTTAAACAACTAACGATGCTGGACAAATTAGTCCATCCCATAATACTGTCCCACTTGAATGTGTAAGGTGTGTTGGAAAAGGAGAAAAATACCCTATTTTTTCTAGTCTATGCTTTTAAAGTACCCGTGACTGCAATACTGTAGATATGACTCTCTGCATAGCAAACTGGTTACTCAGCTACAGTGTTATAGATATGACTCTTCTGCATAGCAAACGCATTTTTAAAAGGCATCATAAACCAAAAGGTTAGTGAAATATTGATCATCAGTAACAAACCTCATTCTCCATGATAGGATATTATCGTAATGATTCCAATATAATAAAAAAAAGCTGTGTATGTGCTGATTTCTTTTTAAACAGATCAATATTGCGAAGTCAGTATGCTTAGCCAAGATGAACTCTAAATATAGATTGAAAGGGACAGTATTTCATAGCTGCCTTCATGGGTCCTGCAGGAGCTGACAGGTTCCTATGTGTCTAAAAGTAGAGAGAGGAGTTTTCTTCGGCTGATTTTCACTGTCTGATTTCTTCCGTACTGGCATATTACCTGAACGCGGTTATGTTGTAAGTAACATTTCATTCTTCTGGGTTTTATTTCCTTTTAGACTTGATTGTTTTCCTTTTTTCTGTGAAGAATTTTCAGTGTGTTCTCACACTAAGTTTGGATTTTACCACAACTTAAGGAGAAATGACGCATGAGGAAAAAAGTCTTCAAGCAAGGTTAAAGTACAAGACAGAGTGACTCCAAAACCCCCAATGTTTAGATTGGTTTGTCGGGAAAATAATCAAGACTTCTGGCCAGGGACACTGATGTCTGTATCCTCTCTCCTTTGTTTGGCATGTCAATGGAATCAAACAGATGTAATATAGACTTTGTTGAATTAATAATGGTCATCTTCACTGAGGTTATATGCACAGTGATTAAATCGGTTTTAAATAATTAACAATGCAGAAACATATAATTCATACTATTAACAAATCAAAGGTACTTACATTTATTACAGCTCAAGTTGTTAAGAAAAATCTTCCCTGAAGTTGCAGGGAAGTACTAATCAAAATACACAAGAGAAACAACTCCTCTTCAGAAGTTAAAAATAACCAAAAGCCTCTCTGCACGAGGTGGTAACTTTTAGCACGCCATTGTTGGAGTGCAGGGCTCCGTAACGACTGCAGTTGGCCACGGATGTGCTTGTGGGCAGACAGCAGAGCCAGCGCTGGAGGGGACGCGGCTCACCGACCGTGCTGCCTGGCACCACGCAACGTTCTAGGGGAAGGAAAGTGGACGCAGCCATCTGTCCTGAAGTTACTGCTGCACGCCTAAAAGTCATACGCTAGGTAAGGGTGATCACTGCTATGCCAGCTTTTCTACCTTATCTTTGTATTTTGCAGCAACAATTCTGAACAGAGAAGAAATTAGCTGTAATCTTTTCTTACACTCCATTAAATAGAATGATAAAAGTATACCTGCAGGCCCATCTATCCCAACTATCAGGAGAACGAGCCCTGTTGTCAGAAGTGACTGAAGCACTTTCAGTCTTCAGGCTTATTGAGGCTCAGTGAATGTCTACGTGGCTGTGTGCTCAGATTTGGGCGAATTATGACAATCATCTTCTGTATCTGGTTTGATGAGGGAAAAAATGGGTCTTTTCTGTAAACGCTCAGGCCTGTATTCCTCAAACTTCAGGTTTTCAATTGAAGTGCTAGATTAAGAATCTGGTCACACTGTGTTCTCTTGCTTGAAGAGGGAGAGGGCAATTCAACCCATCTAGGATTCACCCTCAGGTGCTTAACACTCTCCATCAACAGGAGGTTTGCATCCCGTGAAATGCTGTTATGTCTGGCAGATGATAGATAAAATTGAACTTGCAAGCTTTGCTAAAATACTAAATGGGTAAGATGTATTCGAAGTCTAAACTAATCTCTGTGAGCTCCCTTCTTACATTCACTAGCAAGGGAAAGGCATCTTTAGACTGCAATTGTAAGGTCAAAAAGACCTATTTTAGAATAAGAGGAATATTACCTGGAGGTATTTTTCTTCAATAATTAGGGAGTTTTCAGTGATCAGGGTAGTCTAAGATACCTAATTAGAGCATCGGCATCTCCTTATGGCTAGAACTGTAATTTGTTTCTAGAAGACATTTTTTGAATCAGGGTAGCATAAAGAAAATGAAAAGACTGTTAGAGGATAATGTGCAATCCATAGTGCAGCCTGGTTAGGTATTGCTTCTGTTCTATGTGTAATCTTCCTTCATAACTGTATTTATATAAACAATCATTCAATGAGTTCATGCACCCAGACTCTGCAGAGAAGCTGTTCTTGCTGATTGGCCCCCATCCAGTGCTTTTTTTAAGGCAAGGAGTATTAGTCTGAAGAAAAGGCTTTGCCATCAGGTTTTAATTTGTCAAAACTAGCATTTACATGAAGTAGAACCACATTAGAAGACTATGTTTTGCTCTATTTTTCACGAATAATAACTTTACAGTGATATTCCAAGGTGCATAAGCAGACCCAAATTCTTGCTGCTTCCCTCCTACATCTGTACCTGCATTCTCTGTCTTGTCTCTGAATTAAGTATTGGATGCTGAAAGCAGAGGACCTGAGTGACATCCTTCCTGATGGTGTTGGTGAAGGTTTGGCTTTCACTGTGGTCACCCTTCATCTTACCAAGTACCCACCAAAAGGGTCATACAACTAAATAACTAACATTCAAATCAATGCTGAAGCCAGTCAAACAGATTTTCTCCTTCTCTCTTTCTCCACACACACATATATATAA